ATATATGACGTCACGCGATTTTGGACGATTTTTGACCCCCGCCCCCCTTCGTCACACGGCGTCACAAAAAGTCAGACCCCCCCCCCCAAAAATAAAACATGCTTCAAATAGCTTTAAACTATTGTCATTGTAGTGCGTATTTAATGTGTCGCTGCACTCTGATGTAGGAGAAAACATTTATTAAAAAGTATATTTAACTAAGTAGAACGTGTTGTCTATTTATTTAAAGTTGCGCATTTTGATGTGACGTCACATTTCTCAATCCCCCCCCCCATCGTCACAAACGTCTGACCCCCCCCCCAGGTGCGTGACGTCATTTATGAACGGCCCCTTAAGAAGAATACGTCAGGAAATTAGTAATTTATTCGTTCAATATTGTATTGCTGTGGTCTGTTGTGTGTTTGTTTTAAGTGCCCTTGGGGCGAGAGTTGTGGCGCAGTGGTTAGAGCACTCTGCTGTGAACGCAACGACTTTTGAGTTCGATTGCCAGTCGCGACAAATGGTCGCAGGTGATGTCCGCAACGGTCCTGGGCTCCCACTTTACTGTTGCGCACTGCCCAGAGTGGTGAAGTATGGTCAAACAAACCCCCCCCCCCCATGGTCAATAAGCTGTGGTGGATGCCTTCATCCAGCAGTGGACTACACAAATACTTCTTGAGCACCACAAGTATAATCATAGTCGTCTCATCCATGTGTTTGTGGGAACAAACAGACAAAAAGTCGTACTACTTTTAACACATTATATATTTCTGCCAAACGTTGGCTCGTCCTTTCGTGCCACACTGCTGCTAAGAGGAGGCCTTTCGCGTCTCGGCTTGGTTGCAGAAGACCGCGGTGTCATCAGTCGGCACGCCACTCGTCAGGGTAGACGCACAAGGGTTGCCATTCCACGAGGTGAGAAATTGTCGATTTGCTGTATTGCAAAAAAGAACTTGTAAGTAAAATATAACAAACTTTCAACTCACCCCCACCCACTCCTTACCCAACTTTGTTACATCACGGTTTTATTCACGATTTACGAAGGCTGTCATAATATTGCGCATGCCAGTTTGAAAGAGGATTTATTTTGGGGGATTTACCACCAAACGATATTTGGTGGAGCATAGTACAGTGATCATCGCACTGCGCTACGGGCCCAGTGACCCGAGTATCAATTCCCGGCCAGGGTTAACGTCGGTGTTGAGTGATATTTGAATCGGTTCTGCCCTCCCCAATGCTTCAACTCGCACTAAACCAGCGTGGTCAAAGTATGTTTAAAAAAAAAACACACCCTCAGGGTGAATTAAGAACGGCTGAACTTTACGTTTGGGGCCGTCCATAAATGACGTCACGCACCTGGGGGGGGTGGTTTGAGAAATGTGACGTCACGTTAAAATGCGCAACTTTAAATTAATATAGACGACACGTTCTACTTAATTAAATAGGCTTTTTAATAAATGTTTTCTCCTACAACATCAGAGTGCAGTGCCACATTAAATACGCACTACAATGACAATAGTTTAAAGCGATTTGAAGCATGTTTTATTTTCAAAATGGAAATTTGGGTTGGGGGGGGGGCAGAGCTTTGTGACGTCATATTTGAGGGGGGGGGTTCTGACTTTTTGTGACGCCGTGTGACGGGGGGGGTAAAAAAATTACGTCACGCGATTTTGGACGATTTTTGACACCCCCCCCCCTCGTCACACGGTGTCACAAAAAGTCAGACCCCCCCTCAAATATGACGTCACAAAGCTCTGACCCCCCCTCCCCAAAAACATTTCCATTTTGCAAATAAAACATGCTTCAAATCGCTTTAAACTATTGTCATTGTAGTGCGTATTTAATGTGGCGCTGCACTCTGATGTTGTAGGAGTGTTGTTATAACAATTAGTGTTGTATTTTGATTTCAAGCTTTCGTGACTGCAGGGATTCACATTCTTGGTTCTTTTGGTAAAGTCACGTAGAAGGGAAACAATCAATTAAGACCCGAAATGGTTTATCAAATCCTTCCAATGATTGCTAAGCCAGAATCCACCTTCTCGGTTGAAATTGTCTCTGTGTTTGTATATGTGGATAGCCTCATGAACGAATCTCTCATGGTAGCCACATGACATTGACTTCTCCAAGACAGAGGTTCTTTGCAAGCCTCCAGTCATGCAGATATCACGTGTTCAGCATGCTGCAGGTGGGCTCTGTGCAGGCCCATGGAGAAACACGGACGGAGAGAGAATGTTGAAGCCCATATAGACGTGGCACCGACAACACGGTTCAACAGCTGCCATGGTCAATCCACTGCTGGATGAAGCCACCCCTCAAGCCATCGCCACCTCTCACAATTATAGCACCAGCACACCTACTAACATGATTACTGACGTTTAGACAACTGGCATATTCCATGTAAAACTATAACATATATACGGTTGTTTCAAAAGCACGCTCATACATTGGTTGAACGACTTGCTGTTTGGATTATTGGCTAACATCGCTGATCATCTGACGGATTTAAGTCGATCGGCGGGCTGGTTGGTTAGCTTCAAATTGTGATTTGGGTTGTGGCGCGTGTTTTTGTTCGGCACGATGTCCGACGTTTTGCTCTGCCATGATGGGAGCCTCTTATCAGTTCCTGCCGAAGCTGCACAGACCGAAAAGACTTCGGGAGAGTTGGATGGCACAAACTAAAAACATATGCGGCCGGTGATGTGAGCAAATTGCTTGACTAGCAGACTGGGTGGCGAAATGATTTAGGCCAGTGTTCTTCACTAATTTTCAGAGCGGGGCCACTTTAGCCGAGAAGACATCAGATCAGCGTGAGGGCCGCCACACCGCTTGCAAGGGACGTTTTCACATTTGTGCATTGTTGGGGGGGGGGGGGCACAGTAAAGGCCACCCGGGGGGCCGCCAGCAGCCCCCGGGCCTTGCAGTGAAGAATACCGATTTACGCAATCGGATGCAAGCAAGAGGGCCTCCCAGCCAGAATCAGACCTTGTTTTTACCGCAACGCCGACACAATGCGTGACACTCACATTGTTGTGGGATGCTTCACATCCGTACGGATTTTCGGACGCAGGGGGTTTGTTCCGTAATGACCCGGTAAGCAAATTACTCGGAGCCCAGGGTCAACAAAACTTTGCTCAGCCTGCGAGCCCCTGGGGCTCACCGCGTTATGCACAGGTGTACCACGAAGGGGTCGGCAAAAGAATGCAGCCGAAGAAGCTTCGCTGCGATAATAATGATCCCTGGGTTTAAGTGTGAGGCCAGCATTGCATGCTTAAGTGACATCAAGAGGCGTTTTCTTTTGTTTTGAATGTAGATTGTTAAAATGAATGGCTTTTGTGAAATTCTAATTACGTGTATATTTTTAAACCTCGGCCTAGAAGACCTCGCATGGCGTTCAACAATAGATTTTAGGATGTTCCTGGTTGGATGTTTGGTCAGGTTCAAAATATATATTACATGGAGAGGAAAATAAAATCTCCGGAGAAGACCCATTTGTACAAAGGGGACTACAGTCGGACCGTGTGGAAGTAACTTTTTAAAAATCTTAATGGATGTGTTTTGGGTTAGGTCACGTAAATATAAATGTGTCGTTCAAGCCGCCACCACCCGGCACAGCCAATTAGTAAGGGTTTGTCACGTAAACAATACATGCCAATTCGTTACTAGTACAGCACACTGGTGTGTTGGAGAGAGTAAACCCACCACAACATTTAAATTTCGAGTACCGTGACATTTCGCCAGTAATTACAACAAACAGCATAATCAGGCGACAGCCAGACTTGTGGGGAAATCCTCCCGTTTCGGTCTTAAATAGAGGGATACCTGTGAAATGTGATGTCGATCTAACCCCAAAAAACACATGGATAATATTGGTCGCGAAATCCTACGTGTTAAGCTATTAAAAACCCACTCGCTTTCCTCGGGGCTTCTTGTCGCCCACAGATGGACCCTCTGAGACAGTGGCCCTTGTAAACCTAACAGTGATTCACAATTGATTGTCGGCTCAGATCTCAAATAAGATGCCAACGTTGCCGCTGTAAAGCCCTCCTCGGAGGGTTGCCTTCGTGGCCGTGCCCACGTGCACGTGACACCCAACTCGTTTCACTGAGCCCCCGATGACATTTCGATTTAAAGCTTTCGTGACTGCAAGGATTCATCTTCTTTGGTTCTTTAGGTAAAGTCACGTCTGGAGGACAGCGCTGGAGACAGTCTCGTCCCTTCACCTGATGAAGGCCGCTTGTGTTGTGGCCGAAACGTCGTGATAATTTTATCGCGTTATTTTATTTTATCAATTTATTCTTTTACCCCCGATGACAGTTCAATGTTTAACACGCAGTGGGGCTTTCGCGACCAATATCACCCATAATATAGGTTTTTGTGGGTTAGATCGTGTAAATGTGTGTCGTTAAACCGGCCACCACCGGACAGCCAATTGGTAAGGTTTTTCACGTAAACAGAACGCGTCAATTCGTTACTAGAATTGACACAAGGCGATAATTATAATATATATTTGGGGGGACACATCCCCCCCAATATTCAAATATGCTGAAAATGTCCAACCCAATATATTACTATAAATAGATTTCTGTTAATATGATTGTGGTTATGGTTGTACTTTATTAATTCCTAATCTGCCATTACATACAATGAAACAAGAAAAGGTAAAAAGAAAAACAGAGCAATGTAATACAATATACACTATTTGACATTATTGTAAAAAATAAATAAAAAGTCCATCCTATGCGTTAGTGTTTATTTTGCCGTTGTAACTCGCTGACCACCCCACCCCGCCTCCGCGCGGGGCCCCACAATGAGAACACCTGTGACAAAGAGCTTCATGGCTCATCGGATTCCTCGACAGTACACAGTCTGAAATAGATTCCTGAATCTTCGGCCGAGCGGGGGCGTGGCGTGGGGGGGGGCGTGGGGGGCGTGGTGATGGGAGGGGCTGTAATTGCCACGTACGTCACGCGCGACCTTTCCCATATAAGGACCGCGCGCCCCTATAAGGAGCGCCTCGCCATATAAGGCGCTGCAGGCCGCGGTTTATATAAAGGGCGGAGGTGCGGCGACATCGTCGCCTCACCGCGGTCTTTAATCGCTCGCTCGCCGTGCGTGCGTGCGGGGCGTTGTTGCTCGCGCCCACGACAGCCGCGCGGCGATTGCGGAGTTAACCTCACGGACGTCTCCTTTCCTCTCGCTGTCTCTCTCTCGCTGTCTCTCTGTCGCCCGCTGGCTGGCTCGCTCCCGTCGTTCGGTTTACGCAGCGCGACCGACTTTTTTGCGGTGGACAAAAAACGAAACCGACGAGAACAAATTTGATGAAAAACTTGCGAAAACGAAGAAGCGTTCGAGTTTAGTCGACGAAGGTTCTCTCGTTGTTGTGAGGTGGCGGTGGTGGCCGCTGTCGTGGTGGTGGGGGGGGTCTGGTTTTTTTTCCCGCCATTTGCGTTTCTTGGGGTTCTGAAGCAGCTGCTTGCCGCTATTTGTTGTGGAATTTTATTTTTTGTTAAATTGTAATTTATTAAAACGCATAATGTCAAGATAAATGTGCGGGAGTGTAGTGCAGGGTTTAAATCGGAATGTGTGAATAATTAATTATGCTGAGCAGATGAGGAAACGTTGCTTTGGTTTAATGTTGAATATGCCGAATGAGGCGAAAAAATGTTATATGCTCTTCTGATGTTAATTCTTAAACGTTTTAAATAAGAATTATCACACTGCATTAAAATACACTTACTGCAATGTGAAAGTGCAAGAGCCGTTTGTAAGCCGATAATATAACGTCGAGAATTTTACTACTGTACAGTATATACAGTATACAAAAAATAAACAAAATTATGAAAATACAAAGCTACTTTGTTCAATATAGTGGTAAAAAAATTAACATCGCACTGCAGTGCTAGTATTGTACGAAAATTATATAGATTTATATATTGACGATCCTCCAGTCAGAGGAGACGTTTGCGTCAGTACTCCAATAGCAGTAACCGGTCGGTAGTCGTGAGGAATTAGTCTGCTACTGATTGATTTAACTTTGTAGGCATTGAGGAGCCCTATCCATCAGCGGTGTGAAGTCATCAACAGCAGTAGCAGTGGCACTGAGTAGCCCTATCAAAGCAGTAGCAGCGACATTGAGTAGCCCTATCCAGCAGTAGTGTGAAGACATCATCATCAGCAGTAGCAGCGACATTGAGTAGCCCTATCCATCAGCAGTGTGAAGTCATCACCAACAGCAGCAGCAGCAGCAGTAGGAAGGAATAAGAAGAGGAGGAGGGGGGGGGGGTGATAAAGATGAGGCCACACTGCGAGATCGTGCAAGAGGAGGCCCTGAAGGAAGGAGAGATCGAGAAGCGCAGCGATGGCTTTCTGCAGCAGTGGAAGAAGAAGCGCTGTGTCCTCACCAGCGATGGTCTCATGCTTTTCCCGTGCGACTCCGGCTCCGCCTCGTCCGGATCCATCATGTGAGTGGTGCCCTCTTTGTTTCTCGTTGCTTAATTCAGGCCCGTGTGTTTTTTGTTGTTGTTGTTATTTTTTGTTTAAGGGGTGTTTCGTGTGAACTACATCCTCGCCTGGTGTGTGTGGGAGTCCAGTTTGTGGGTTCTGATGCCTGCTGCTGTATATTTGGAGTTTGCGTGTCTCTCACCGTGGTCGCGTGGATTTTTCTCCGGATCCTCCGGTTTTCGACCCCCCCCCCCCCTATCTCTACATTAAAATAAACATCACGCGTTTAGAATATTTGGCTACTGCTATGATGATAAGCCTCTTTCGCTGAGCTATCATTTGTGATGGCCAGGTCGCTTCTGAAACAAAGAGCTACATAGCTCAGTGGGCCCTTACATGGTAAAATAAACAAAAAATGGGTTATTTATTAGCACGTGTTATTTATTAGTCCCGCTTATTAGCCATAGTTTATGGCCTAGACCCAGTGTTCTTCACTAATTTTGAGAGGGTGGTGGTGAGGGGGCTACTCTTTCCCCGAGAAGACATCAGTGCGTGAGGGCCGCCACACATTTTAAACCCATTGGAATTGACAGCACGACGATGGTGGGGGGGGGGGTGTTTTCAAATCTAGTGTATTGTCGCGGGGGCCCACGCTAAAGGCCACCACGGGCCTTGCAATGAAGACCATCGGGCTTAGAAAGCAGACGGTTCACGATTCGATTCGAGCCTGCTGCCATGATTATCACTGCGGTTGTGGCAAGCCGTGCTTCTTGATGGGTTCAAACGCGGCGCTTGCCCCTTCACTCGCGGTTGACTTTAAACGATCCTCTGATGTGTTTTTTTTGCAAGATGAGGCAGGAACATTGTTTCGCCAGTGTCGCGGGCCCAACATTTTTTAAATTATACCCGCAAAGTTTTCCTTAATTGGGATTATACATAGCGGTCATCGCCACCCAAATAAGCCAATTAAAGCTAACCCATGACCCTATTTAGCCTCGCGTGGACAAGATGGTTAACCTGGAAGGAATCTCGAAAGCCAGTTCTGTATCTCCTTTCCGCGGGGCCGTTCTTTCTAACACGGGGTTGATGCACTGCCCTGGAAGAGTTCCGAGTACGTGGATAAGTAGAGGTAGACGCGAAATTATATGCGGACGAGAGGCGTCGAGTGGCAAATTGAACATTCTAACCACGTTGATCCCAGAGGTAGTGAAGGCGAATTCATCCCGTTCGCGCATGAGTCGCACGGCATTGGGTCTCCCCCACATGCAAGTTCAAGTTTATTTGTTTAACCAGCTGAGAAATGAAAGGACCAGGGGTAGTCTCATTTTGCCAGAGTGACTTGGGTAATCTCTAAGAAATATGTTTGGACAATCGTCGGTGACTGGGCGAATACAACTTGTTACGCTTGAGAACATAGTTTAACTGATGGGTGGCGACAACCCGAATTTAAGTCCAGGATCTCAGTGGTACCGCCTGAGTGCTTTTATTGAGCCTGACCTGGCCATTGTCAAAAGTAGTAAATGTCCTCTAGTATGCTTCATCCTTTGACTGCCCCTGCTGTTACAACGTCTTGAGTAAGACTACATACTTTTCTTCAGTCAATATCCTGCCTTTAACTAGCATATGTTCTGAAATACCTGTGTTCTGGAATCCATAAATTAAGTCAAACCTCCAATAGTCATCTTCCTTGAAGAAGAAAATTCGATACCCCTTTCCCATTGACACATCCAAGTTGGATTGGTGTGGGCCCCTCACTTTACCGATTATTTCCACGGACTGGTTTCTGAGCCGAGCCAGAACCAAAGTATGAAACTCTTGAGCTCACAAGACATCTGCATTTGACTTGGGGCCAAGCAGGGCCAAGGGTGATGGTAAGGACATTTCATCACACGAAAAATTATAATGTAATGTCAGCAACACAGCTTCATGTTCTGCAGTGAACACAACAACTCCTGAGTCTGGCTGGCTCGGCATGACCCAAGCGCGGTTCGGTTGTGGCAGTGGAAAATAGATTACCATAAATAATTGACACCTCATGTATGCACAGCTCCGTGTCGCACGGGGATGGCGTGGGCCATGGCAACAGGAGGAAGGCCCCCAAATCTCTGCGCTTCGACGCAGTGAAGACACTGGACTGCGTCGATCGCAAAGGCCGCTTCGTCTACTTCACCATTGTGACGGCATCCAACCGCGAGATCGACTTCAGGTGCCTGGAGGACACGACATGGAGCGCCGAGATCACGCTGGCCCTCGTCGGATTCAAGAACCGCCAGGCGCTCCGCGATCGCGACCAGAAGAAGATGCTGGCGGCGCGAGGTGATGGCAGTGGCGGTGAGGGATGTGGGGAAGATGTGACAATGGTGATGGTGAACGTAGGGAGGATGTGGAACTTAAACACTTTCACGTGGTGGACTGTGATGTTAAATGGGACGGCGGAGGTGGTGTTGATTGTAATGATAACGATGGCTATTATGGATGTGGGTGTGAATGTTTGAGATAGAGGTATGTGGTGATTGGTGGTGATAGTGGACATGGAGGAATAGAGTGTGTTGTTGGATGTGCAAAGTGAAGTGGGGGAGATGTAGAACATGGTGGTGGTATTGATAATCATGGTGGATTTTTCATGAGTGTAGAATGTGCTTGTGGATGTGGGGAAGATGTAGAATGTGGTTTTGGATGTGGTGGAGATGTAAAACGTAGATGTGGAGATTGTGATAGAGGAAACGGTGTTGACTATGCAGAGTGCTGTAGAATGTGGTCATTGTGAATTTGGGGAAGGAATTTGAACTTGGTGGTGGACATGGAGATGAATGCATGGGGCCAGGTGTAGCCACTGTCTGCCACATGATGATGATGGTAGTGGACATGGAGATGGTAGATGTGGATTAGATAGAGGACACGGTGATTGTGGTGGACAGGAAGGAGACGTCGGACGTGGTCAAGGTCATCATGGAGGTTGATCAGACATGGTCATGGTTAAATCTATCTTGACTTAAAGCTTTCATGACTGCAGGAATTAATATTATTTGCGTCTTTCAGTAAAGTCACGTAGATAGGTTAGATCACAACACAAGCGGTCGTCATCTATCTACGTGACTTTACCGAAATACCCAAATAATATGGTCATGGTTGTGATGGTGTTGATGTAATTGAAGATAATAATGGAAGGAGATGGACGATATGAAGTATTTGGCCCGCATTGTCACGATGTGAATTTGGTTCCCATATTGAGCCAGCAATGCATTAAACGTTTGCAGTTTAAGCTTGCACAACGGCAATTTATTCCATGCAGGAATTCAGAAAATTTGTATATTTGACAGGTTTGGTATTAATATAAAAAATATGAAAATAATTTCAGATAAATAATCACAATTCACACAAAAAGAACTTTATCAAACAATAACCAATGAATAATATCAATTCACACCTCTAATAATGAAAAAAACCTAAACAATTAATCATTCGCACAACAAGAACTATATTGCGATACGGGAAGAAAATCATGTTGACCTACTTGGCCTTCATTCTTGAGCGTCTCTCTTTGAAATTAGCTCTCCAGAATTGGAAAACACCTTCTCACTTGGCAGTTTTGTCGCTGGCATACACAGGTATTTCCATGCCAGCTTCATCAGATGGGTGAAATCTGACCCCTTTCCATGTTCCAAAGTTGAACAGGACACCTTTCTTTAAAAACAAAACTGTGTAATTTCGTATTAAAAATAGAACTAGAAATCGATTCCTCTGTGAATGACTCCCCATCGCTGCGTGCAGGCGGTCAGTGGTGGACTTCAATATTTTCAGGGCATGAAGGTTTTACCAGAAATTTAAATAATAAAGAACGTTTCTGTTGTGGTCGTGCAGTGGCTGTTGAACGTGGCGACGATGGAGGCCGAATTAATGGACGCGGAAGAGATGGCGGAGGTGGTGTAGGTGGTGGAGATCGTGGAGGTGGTTTTGGAGGTCGTGGTGGTGTTGGAGGAGGTGTCTGGGCTGAAGGCGCGGCAGTGGCCGGCCCAGTGGGAGGGCTTTACCACGCTCCTCAGCAGCAGCGACATCGCTCCGGTTAAATCCAGAAAACCTGGTATGTCAGAGAGGCATTTGGTCATGCCTCGCTTCTTCAATTAGTATTGATTTGTAAGCTCAAATATACACACGTCGAATTGTGAGTGTGAATAGAGATGATTTTTTATTTGTAGTCATTAAATGTAATTTGGATACTGATGTGTCTTTGGTTATCGGCGTGAAAGAACCCGTGCTAAAGAGAAAAACAAATATACAGCCTCTGCAAATGAGATGCGGGAGCGAGGGGTGAGGGGGATTGGGTCGCAACACGATTTATTCTGGAGTAAAATCCTGACCCCATATTGTGAAACCTCATTGAATCGCTTTGGCGATTAATTGATTTGTGCTTGCTATAGGCTAAAGCATATTTGTTTTTTTTCTTCCAGGGTATGTTCTATTCAATTGTTATAGTCCAAAGCAGATATGTTCACGTATTTGCTTTGCACGACATTCGCGTTATTGTAACGTTGACACAATTTACATGCAAGTACAAAAAGCTAATTCTCTGGCGTCCAATTTCATGCGTGTATCTCATGCATAGTGGGCATACGAAATTATATTTTAAAAATCGTCACGAGCCGTGGAGAAAAGCAGCGCGCACGTGCCCTCTGTTGGCGTCTCTGAGCATAGCATTTTGACTTTAAAAAAATCAATGTCACGTCATCGTACGTAAAGAGGCATCAAGGCCCTCAGGGGATGGGGGGCGGTCTAAAGACAATCATGCGAGGTTAGCAAGATGCCTTTCGAGGTCAAATAGGTTTTATTGTCATTTAACCTTTACAAGGCTATTGGGTGACGCTAAAGGTGACTGGTTGCCACGATCCTCTTGGCCTTTTGCATCCGCTGTAATATATTGACTTTGTCATCAGGCCCTGCCTCTTGCTTCTGGCAGTGTCGTGATGTCTACCACAGTTTTTTTGACAATTGTAATTAATGCTGTTATAAATGCCACATGTGTAACGTCTTCTCACCAGTGTCATGCATCATGCTATTTTGGATCGCTAGCTAGATTTCCATACATTGTTCTGGTTGTGTATTACTCGTGTTAATAGAATGTCCCTGCTGTTCTACAAACCTGCTGTAAACAATCCCTTCCCACATAACGTGCTTGACATTTTGAAAAAAAAGCCTCTTAGCTCAATGGATCTTACCCAAATTAAACTGACTATCCACGTGGTATAACCAAATGACAGTAGTACATATATTGATTTGCTAGTTTATTGGACTCAACTTTTCAGAGGGTTTGGAATCAATTTATGGTTGAGTTGGTGGAAACTTTAGCAAATTTATTATTTCACACTTGTTTAAATCAAGCCAAAGTATCTCCCTGTTAAAATTAGCATTTATCTTGTGCTCATCTGCATATGCCTTCCTGAGCCATTGCTTAACGTTTAATTACTTTATTTGTCAGGTGTCTTTCCAGATGTATAATGACTGCGGTTGACTTGCCATAATGTTTTGCTCATTTTATCAACCCAGAAAGGATTGCGCTGAGTCAAACCCTGTTCTGAGATTTTAATTAATCGATTGATTACTGAGCAAGGGGGCCCTTTGTGACTGATTAGTCAAAGGCACATTGTCTCGCTGCCGAACTAATCGTGGGACATTGCTCATCTCGTTTAGGATGCCGTAGCCAGTGGTGTAAATACCTATTGTTAGAGCCAGTTTATTTGACAGCCACTTTTGAAGGCTCATTGCCCAGATGTAAACCAGCCGGGTGGCTCGGCCCTAGAGCGAGTGACTCGCATTCTGAAAGTTGCATGTTCAAATCCCGTTTGGGGGGGTTGACTCGGCGCATCCTTACAGGGGGTCCATAAAAATGAGTGCTATTTTGTCAGGGAAGTCAACAGTGGTTGTCCTTTCGAGAGACACACCCCTGTGCTAGGAATGTGGAATTTCCACCACTGGCTCGAAGCTCTGAACAGTCGATGAGCACTGCCGCAATGCTCCTTTAAGGATGAATCACTTTTGCTTTGCATTTGCTTAATTGTAAGGCAGGTACGTATTTCACATGTCCACGGCCCCAGTAACCGCTCTGTGTGTTTATGCCTGCAGGATTGCGAGAGTGATTAAATGCCGCATTTGTTGACCGAGCTGGATTACCAGACGCAGCCAAGGCCTCGTCGTGAGAGGGCAGCCGTGCTGCATCCTTTCCTTGCTGCGTTTCTGAACACTTCATCTGAACGTCTGATCCACACCTCCGGACCATCATAATAAGTACAGTGAACTCCTCAAAGACTTGCTGCAACGATGGCAAGGATATGTTTTGCGCGCGTCGGTGGCGCTTGGGTGCTGTAACGCGCAAAATCGACAAAACCATCTCTGCACGATGCTCATTCGCGACAGCAAGAATGTTATCGCGAGCGGAGAGCAATGCTTGAATAATGAAAAACGACGGATGCCTCCCATGTTTTCGCTTGTGCTGCCGAGTCTTGGATTTACGCCTGAGGCCTGCATACAACATGGATGGAAGTGCATCTGGCTGGACTGGTTGCCGGCCGATCGCCAAACTGTGATGATGAATTCACGGTGTTTTAACGAAGCACATGACTTGTGCAGATAGGAATGAGGATGTAACGAGTGAACACTTGTGCATAACCAGGGACTTTTAGTCACAGTGTCGAATTATAAATGTACACTTTATCGTTAAGCATAGATTGACAACAATTAAAGGAGCTAGTGAAAGCTTCCTTGGCTAATTGCTGCCATTTCGACAGACTAGTATGGCAATGTTTTAGCGGTTGCTTTTCACAAATTTTAAATCAACTACATTGTAGTTTTTTTCAGTCCAACAGTGCAGTGATATAAGAAATTACCAGAAATATGTAGATAAGTTTTGCGCTGTTTTACACGTTCATCGTTGAACGTCATCTAATAACTAATCTATTTTAAGTCCCATTTTTTGTAATGCTTCAGAATTGGTGGCATTTAAAGTTGAACGATTGATGGAGTAAATTAAGTTTCAGCAACTGAAGCAATTGGCGGGACCCCGGGGTCCCATCACTGCGCCGGGGTGGGAAAAACCGCGTAGCGACACGAGTCTTGCCTTACCGACAACAAAACTAGTGGTCAATCGATTGGCCTCGTCGAGAGCTACTCGGGGCACTAAGTTTCGGAAAAAATTGAAAAATTACATAAACGCGTTAAATTCACCGCGGGGGCGGGCTCGCCTTGGCAAAGAAGCTGAGGATCGACGGCTGACCGGAGGGCGTTGTCTCCGCACGCGACTGCGGTGGACGCCCCCCGGGGCTTGCGTTTGGCCGGTGGGGTGGCGCCCATCGTGTTGATCGCCGCCTGCTGGTGCTTGTTGGCGCGAGTCTGGGCGGGCGGCGCGTTGCTGTCGGGATCACGAGTGGGGCGGACTGAAAAATAATAATTATTGACCTGATTTTTGCGGGACCCCGGGGTTCCGCCAAATGATTCGACTGACAACAAAAAATCCCGTGACCTTTCAACAGTAAAGTTAAATTCACATTTATGTGCGCAAAAGGTCACAGTAAAATCATAGCCAAGTATTTAAAACAAGTTATTTCATAACTTGAAAGAAGGTCGGTGTGTTTTCATATTTATTTTAGCAGTGATTTAGAATGTTATCAACGTAATGCTTGCAGTTGCGAAGATATTGTAATGTGTAGTGTTGCGGTCATGTGTAGTCAGCCTGCATTGCACCAAGTTGGTGGATTATGTGAACGGTACCAATCTTTAGCTTATTTTCACTTTCTGTATAAACTTATAGTCCATCTCGTTTTTAAGATTATTTTACAATTGTGACTTAACATCGCATTACCATATGCTCTTGTTATAGAATTAATTATCTGCCACTGGATAAGTATGCATGCTCATTTCTTCCATCGCTCTTCGAACGTTTTCACAATTGTTGATTTTTTTTTACTTCCATTTTACCGACTCGGTCTTAAAGCTAATACAGTAGCGAATACCACACTTAAATAACTGTTTTATAAGTACAATAAAGTAGATATTGGGCTTCAATGACCGAAACGCACTCGTCTAGAGGTCTTGTCTGTGCTAGGCCAGCACTCTGCCATCTAGTGGCGTGAATTAGAATAATGTTTTAGTGTACTGTATATATTTATAGTGAAAATAGTGAGCTATGTGCATTATGTGTGACTCCACACTATTCAACACACAAATCCAGTAGCTGTCCGTTGAGTCCCACGGTTGGTATCGACCAAGACGGTGTTTTTTTTAGTTCAATGTTACCAGAGGGCAGGAGAGAGAGCTAGCTCTCCTTGTGCTGTAGTGAGCCGTGACAATCTATGCTCAGCATGAGTTGTATTGGTAGGAGAACAGTGGGGGGTCATGTGGATTTCTGGATGAGAATTTCAAGTAACCTATCCACAATACATTTTAGTGCCACGTTTCATTGGCAACATTGTAGATCCTAAAATCCTTCACTGCGAGACGTGAGACTGCAAGCTTCCTGGAGCAAATATGCGAGAACAAACATGCTTTTCGAGGCGGATTTTGATTGTGTTCACTGATCATCTGTCCAAACAAACCAATATATAATAAAATAACACAACTAGACCAGGACAATACACCTGTGCCATGTATTTTTCAAGTTCATCCAGTTTGCTTCATTTTTATCCAGTGTGAAACGTGACTGGCTGTCTGTAGATATTTGGTAGGGATAATTGGTCACTTTTCCAGCGTTTCCGAACAATTTGGGTGCGCGTATGCAAAATATATCGGCAAATCAACTTACGACTGCATGTCAATCGGGCCTAATTAGGGCCTTAACACCATACATTTTTAATGTTGGAAATTGTGGTTTGTCAGCTCTTGCCATATGGCCAAAAGCTGGTCCCTCAAATTGTAGCTTTCAATTGAAAGTGGAACTGTTCACTTGTTTTATCATAAATATTCCAACCTCATGTCTTCTAAAATATTTCAGAAATCTCAGGCAGTATCAAGCAGTTTTAGACCTTTAGGGATTGATGTAATTGTTTGAAGGAAAAGCAGTCTTCGTTAATGTCTAGTGGAAGCATAGCCAAATTTCCAGTATTTTCTACAGATTGCACCATTTTCCACTGAAAATTGGTTGAAAATTTCCTTCGAGGGTATTAATCGGACCCTGTAGCATGTTTAGGTAATCATGCTTCTCGCAAACGTTCAGCCTGCAATAAATTTGAAAGAGAGCTCTACTTATACTTGGTGGCAGGAACTGCATTGTGACCAACTCTTTGTGATTAACCCCTTAGCATTGTTTTATGGTGAAATTGCGTGCTAATAATGTACACTCAGAAATCATTCTAACAGTGGCACACAAACCATTTTGCTCACTAAAATAAAGGTGCATGCTAAGTGCATTGCATTGAAGGATTTTTTTTACCATTAAGTGAAACCAAGTAAGTTTTATTACTGGTATTACTGTTACTACCATCACAATCGTATGTTCTGCACAAGGTGACAGCCAGTTAGTGTTTGCTCTATAGAGGTCAGAGTACATTTTGTGTGAAAATATATTTTTTAACACGCATTGTGTCTAACATTAAATTATCAGAACAAAACACTGGAGCACGCTGCGATTTTTGGCACAAACTGCAACGCCCATTCTCTCCGAGGAATGGGTGCTGTTTCCATGTTGAACTACACAAACGTGACAGCCACCACTTTCAAGTAGCCTTGATTACATTTCACATTCAGATTTTACTAAAAATGTAAAATCTCTATCAGAGGGCAGTGTTCCGCTTGTCCGTGTATTTTTTTTTTGAATCAACATACCATCTGTTTTTCTGGTGTGAGCTGATAATTGTAGACGTGACCGACATCTCGGAGACTGGTGTGTAGACTCGATCTTGGTTGTGTTAGATAGACCAGGTACAGTATATGTTCGTTCCTCGTGGCTGTTCACTGGGAAAAGAGCTTGAACCGATTCTGTTACCTCGGCAGGCTTTTTTTGGGTCCGTGATCACGTTGTTTAAAGACCTCTCGAATGGTTAATTTCAAAAGCCACATGTTAGGTGTGACAAGACACCGAACGAGTTGTGAAACCTACATTGTTCTTGCGGTGGCTTCGCTTGCATTCAAAGGCCGAGGTTTACTTGTGGTTCATGGGGCAGTAATGTCTTAGGCTTTAACATCGAGCGTGTACTTCTCAGCTCCTTGGGTAAAATAACTTCGGGCTTTCTTGATTCGCAAGTTTAAAGAAGTCTCGTCAAGTCGCCAGTGGTACAACGAGAACATGACAAATACATTCATTTTTGTGTGTGCATTATCTTGCTTCAGCCTAATAGCAGGTGGTTTATGTTATTGGGGGAGAGGCCAATCCGTCCATTTGTGTACACAGTGACGTCTCGCATACTCGCCAACCCTACCGATTTAAGTGACGTGCCGCGAATTGTTATACCCTTTTACCACATACCTCTTTTTCAAAGCCAATCACGGCTTCATGAAAGATAAAGTAACGTTTGCTTTTTTAAAATTGGTACGCGGTTAAGAAGGTTTAAAACGCTGTAGCCTGCCTCTTACATTGCAAGAGTTGACCAGTATGCATCTTGTGCTAGAAGATGCCTGTCGCGAGACGCTTGGAAGTGTCTGTAGCACTTTATCAGTGGTCTTGACCCACTAACCTGTGATGCTCTGCTCTCTACTGGGCCTCCCATGATAGACATAACTGTTTGCCATTAGAATTCAGCATCGCAATTGTGGTACGATTGTGGAAGTCCTGAAATACACGAGGATTTGCCAATGACGAATTACAGATACTACCTGAAACTCTTGCTTCTCGCCCAATGGCAAGTCACGATTGCGGACGAATGGAATCTGTTGGTGGACGGTCAACTTCACGGCAACATTAAGTTCCCAGTTGTATGGGGGAGGGGGGTGCAAGTGTTGCTCTCTCGCACGTGTTGGGTTTTCTCCTACTGCTTCTGTTTCCTCCCACAAGTAAACGCCAATCCACTGATAACATCTTCATATGTGAATGACCGGGCAAAGCTTTGGGTGGGGGGGGGGGGATTTTGCGCTGGCTTATCACTTGTCTTGTATCTCGAGCTTCTGGGTCGCTCTGTCTCTTCGAGAGCGAGCTGAAACTGTGTGACGGCACGTTACAAAGTTTAACCCGACCAATATTCACAACGAAGGGAGGTTTTTTTTTTTTTCCTAAGGGGGGGGGGGGGGGGGGGGCGGGGGTTAGATCGCATATCAATGAATGTCGTTAACCCACCACCACCCGAATCCGACAATTAGTGAGGTTTGTCACGTAAACCGAACGTGCCAGAGAGTAAAACCCGCAACATTTACAAATCGAGTAGGACGTTTCGCTGGCGATTGCAACCAGCTTCAGACAATTTACCAGAACTGTGAAGAAGCCTTCCTGTTTCAGTCTTAAATAAAGTAAAGTTGATGTCATCACTGTGAGCCCATCGGGAACAAAAAACAACCCCTTTATGATGCGCGAGTTACAAGATGAAATTATTCCCAGTTTTTGGAAACAGCCACAAGCCTTGTGCGTAATTTGCATTGCCTGCCACCTCGTGGATACAACTGGTAACGTTAAGGATGCGAATGCGCATTATGCCGGTAGTGCTCAATTGTATTGCCCCGTCTGGCTGTGATGCTTCGTATGCAGCCTCTGTCGCCGTTCACTTTTACAATGGCGTGATTAGCAGTACTTGTGAATTCACGATGACAGTGCTAGCCGTCCAGAGTCTGTGATGAGTACATTTAGCAGTGCGTTTTGCTGCGCGAGTCGTGTAAAGTGTGCGTGTACATAAGTGTAGTGTAAAATGTTCGTGTTGAATAAACGTATTTAAATGCACTGTGACCATTTCTGTGGATTGTGTTGATATGGCACGATTGCAACAGGCGCTTGCTTAATATAAAAAAAAACAATATTTTGTGGTCGGAATTTGTTTTAATCACTTAATTTTACAATCTCGAGGTGCGCCTGCTATAAATGCATGTTTGTAATCGGAGACAAACATGAAGACATAGACGGACACGAAAACACGCACATGGACATGTAGACAAAACACAGAAACACCACATGGAGACAGAGCGAGACGGACAAATACACTTGAAGAGATAGATACAAACACGGAAACACTTCAGTGACTGACATGCATGAAGGCACAGAGACACCGATACACAGCCGAGAATACACTCGGAGAGAAACGTAAACAAACAAAATGATGGTCGCCTCTAACATCTAAAGTACACGAGCTAAGACGATGTATTGTGACCATCTACACCTGTGTGTGTGTCTGTGTCTCCTCCTGCGGAGGAGGCTCGTGAAGGATGCTCCTGGCCAGTTGGAAACGGTGGCCCGACAACAACAACGGAGGGCAGAGGAGCGACGCTCCCAACAATGAGCGGAGTCCTGGGTGGCTAAGGCACAGCGAGTTGGCACGGTAGGGGGCACAGGTGGTGCATCGGCCAGTCATCTCAGTCGACCCATGGCACCGCCTCGGTCTGTCCCGTTACCTGCCCGCGGGCGTTCGACACCTCACGTGGCCTTAACGTGCACATAGCCTGGCACAAGCGCCGTGGTGACGTCTGTGTCTCCGTGTCTGCCTTTGTGTGTCTCACTCGTAACCACATTTTAAAAAGCCCACAACTTTGTATCCGAGTCAGCAAGGGTACACCGCTTAAACCCTTAGAAAAGGGACTTTTGTTGAACCTTGCATTCATTTTCCATTGCTACAATGTTGCAAGACATTCCACGCCGTGCAAAAGAGTTACGCGGTCGGATTAGCACAACAAACTCACGACGGTTGGAATAGCGCTTAAACAAAACTACAGCGGATTACGTGTAAAATGCCACAACTTACACGAGGGGCAATTACTCAGTTCAACATCGCCTGTGTAAGAGAAGTGAGGTATTAAACAACAAAACACACCGTGCACAAAACCGCCGAGCGTTAATTGTGAACCACTGCCAACTTTGCACCTTTAACGGAGGAACAGCAGCAGGAGCAGATTAAATTTAGCCTCAACTGAAGCCGTAAAAAAATGACAAATTATGACGTTATCAGACACATTTATTTACCGATGTAATTTCAAATAAAAAAAAAATTCAACTCAAGGTGAATTCATAAAATAAAAATGACTCCACTGATTTCTTCCAACAATGTTTTTGTTTCTCTAGCTTTAGCTGCTGTGTGGCACAGTCATGAACGATGCTGTCATCGTAATTCAAAGACGATGGCGAATGTTCCGATGTTATCGTCGCTCAGCTGTTACTTCCACGTGACATGGAGGGCCTCGAGGAGAGCCTACAAATATCACAGCCTAAGGCCCTGCTCATATTAGCTCATGGGTTCATGTTTCCCTGGTCACGTGCATGGATTTCACATTTGGATAGCGATTGTTACGTCACTGTTCACTGAGCCAGCGATTTCTCCACCAGTAAGGTGGGGGGGGGAGGCACTCCTCCGGAAAGCCGGTCAGAGAGGGGCGTGGTTAACGTGCAGGAGAAATCTGAGATGTGTGCGGAGAACGTCAGCGCCGCATTGCGGTGACAACACGGGCAAATTCTGATGGGTTTTTTTTTCCCAGAAGATGCTTGGCATAGAGTTTCATGCGAAAACGTCGTATCTGGTTGCCGAAAATGTGGTTGCGACAATTGTTCTTCAATTTGCTGGTGAGCTAAAACAACAACAATCTTCCGTTGCGTATCACGATGTTGAGTCATGGCTGCGCGGTGTTCGGCCGCACGAGACCACCGCAGGGGCCATTCTCGAACGAGTCGAGGAAAGCGAGGGCCCTGTCTCTGGCCTCGCGCGCCAGGTCGGCACTGCGGGCCCTCCTTGTCTCCATGACACTGGGGCTCGAGGGCAGCAGGGCCTTCAGCAGGCGGCGCCTCTGCGCCGTCGAGAGGGACGCTCCGGGTGTGCCCGCCATGGCCCTGGGGTCTCCGGAAGTGGCGCCGAACCCCGCGCAGGCCGACCTCACCCCGGACCTCCTGGTGGCGAGCGGACTCCTCGATGCCATCACCGTTACTCCACCTAATCCTCCGCCGCCGGAACCTCCTCCTCGGCCCGTATCGCCCGCACCACCGCAGACAGATTTGTGGCCGTCGGTGGATTTGTGGACTTCCGCGCGGCCGGCCGACATCGACACGGACGGCCCGGGCGGGAGCGTTTCGGTAGCGGCGGGGAGGGCCACGCCGCCGCCGCCGCAGCCGCAGCCGCCACCACCGCCGGGCGTCCTCGTCGGCCGTCGCGGAACGACGCGGAGAATCTCGCGAGCGGCGTCGGTCTCCGGCCCCGGGAAGGCGCGACGTTCGGCCAGCCGCCCCGTCGACAGGCGCACGGCGGACAGCTCGCGCCGCAGCTGCCGCCGGGCCCTGTCGGCCGACTGGGCCGCCCTCGCCCTGAGGAGCTCCACGCTCTCGAGCCGCTCGGCCAGCTTACGCGACTCGGCCACGTTGGCGTGGAGGCAGCGCTGGAGCCGCGCGCTCGACAGCGCGTGCCGCATCGCCGACGCTTTGCTCGGCGGGCGGGCTTGCAGCATTCTTGAAGGACAACAAAAATACTCTTTGGTTCTTTCGGTAAAGTCACGTAGTTAGAAATGAAATCAAACAAATCGCGGCGTTTCGATCGCAACACGAGCGGTCGAAACGTCGTGATTTTATTTAATTACAAATTTCTACCCACGTGACTTTACCGAAAGAACCAAAGAGCATCGATTCCAGCAGTCACGAAAGCTTCAAATCAAGATTGACAACAAATATATATGCGCAGTATCTAAAAATCTCTATATCGTACGTCTTAATATCGCGTGCCCGCATATCGCGGGGTCTCTGTCTCGCCCGTACCTATAGCGCCCGTCGGTTCTCCTTCGGCGCGATGCCGAACTGTTGCCACGTTGAGCTGCCTGCCTTGCGGTGGCACGGTGGCGCAGAGGGCGAGAGCGCTGAGCTGGCGACCGCTGAGAGCCTGGGTTCGAATCCAGGCCCTACGGGCGGCGGAGTGAGTTGATAGCCTCAACCCAGTTGCCAACGACTGCACGCAACAACAAACAAAAACCCCGTAACATTACGTTTGGTTCTGCGCTTAATTTGGCAAAAAATTCAGTTTGCGTGTCACACCGTGAACCTCTGATTCTCATATGCAGAGTGAGTTGGGTGCGTGCTGCCCTCTCTACTGTGTGTGGACCGGAGTATCACAGACGATGGGACGTCAGGGGTAGTACATTACAGGAGTAGTTCTGTGATGTCTGCTTCCGTGGCACGATTCTCACATGAATGGTGTCGTTGCTCTGCGAGAGATACGAATGCGTTCTTGGTCTCGTGCTGTGATGCCGATAATGATGATGACGTTCAGAAATAATGAAGATAAGATATGATGATTATAATGATGAGTCGATATGATGATGAGGAGCCGTGGTGTGAGTTCGTGTGCATCGCAGATTGGTGAGGGTGTTGGCGGTTTGGGGGAGGCCTTCATCCAGCAGTGGATTGACCATGACCGATGAGAGAGATATATATGTTTTATATTACGCTTCTTTACCCTGGAATGCCTCACAGAGCCTCGTGACTTCTCCAAGATTTCGTAGTAAGTGGCGATGATGATTGCTGTATATATTCCAATTGAGCAATTATAATATTTGCATTATTATATTGTCGTTATCATCATCGTCGTCGTCATCATGGCGATAATGAAGTAAAACTGACACTCATCACAATCCCACAACTACAAGCCCTACCTCATCATGGCGATATTGAAGTGAAACTCACACCAACTCATCACAATCCCACAACTACAAGCCCTATCTCATCATGGCGATAATGAAGTAAAACTCACACTCATCACAATCCCACAACTACACGCCCTATCTCATCATGGCGATAATGAAGTAAAACTCACACCAACTCATCACAATCCCACAACTACAAGCCCTACCTCATCATGGCGATAATGAACTAAAACTCACACCAACTCATCACAATCCCACAACTACAAGCCCTATCTCATCATGGCGATATTGAAGTAAAACTCACACTCATCACAATCCCACAACTACAAGCCCTATCTCATGGCGATAATGAAGTGAAACTCACACCAACTCATCACAATCCCACAACTACAAGCCCTATCTCATCATGGCCATAATGAAGTAAAACTCACACCAACTCATCACAATCCCACAACTACAAGCCCTATCTCATCATGGCGATAATGAAGTGAAACTCACACCAACTCATCACAATCCCACAACTACAAGCCCTATCTCATCATGGCGATAATGATGTAAAACTAACACCAACTCATCACAATCCCACAACTACAAGCCCTATCTCATGGCGATAATGAAGTGAAACTCACACCAACTCATCACAATCCCACAACTACAAGCCCTACCTCATCATGGCGATAATGAAGTGAAACTCACACCAACTCATCACAATCCCACAACTACAAGCCCTATCTCATCATGGCGATAATGAAGTGAAACTCACACCAACTCATCACAATCCCACAACTACAAGCCCTATCTCATCATGGCGATAATGAAGTAAAACTCACACTAACTCATCACAATCCCAAAACTACAAGCCCTATCTCATCATGGCGATATTGAAGTAAAACCCACACCAACTCATCACAATCCCACAACTGCAAGCCCTATCTCATCATGGCGATAATGAAGTAAAACTCACACCAACTCATCACAATCCCACAACTACAAGCCCTATCTCATCATGGCGATAATGAAGTGAAACTCACACCAACTCATCACAATCCCACAACTACAAGCCCTATCTCATCATGGCGATAATGAAGTGAAACTCACACCAACTCATCACAATCCCACAACTACAAGCCCTATCTCATGGCGATAATGAAGTGAAACTCACACCAACTCATCACAATCCCACAACTACAAGCCCTATCTCATCATGTCGATAATGAAGTGAAACTCACACCAACTCATCACAATCCCACAACTACAAGCCCTATCTCTATCGCCCTGCCACCTGCCCTGCAGTAACATCGGAACCACTCCCATTATTTTACTTTATTACCAATTCTGGCTCCAACAATTAGGACGACACATCCTAAGCCGCGGTGTTGCCGAGTTCACTCTCCATGATCGGGTGAGGAGCTCGGTGAACCGCGAGAGCCTCAGAGTCGAGGCCGCTGCCCCTCCGGATCGAGAAGAGCTGGTTGAGGTGGTTCGGGCCCCCCCCGGTAAGGAAGCCCCCCGGTAAGGATGCCCCCCACCCCCCGGTAGACTCCCCCTGGAACTCTACCGGGCAGCAGCAGCAACGTCCCGCTGGGCGAAGGACCCCGGGGCTGGCCCAGGACCACGCTGCTAGAGTCTGTCTATAGTAGTGTAGTGTGTAGTGTATAGTGTAGTGTAGTAGTGTATAGTGTAGTGTGTAGTGTAGTAGTGTAGTGTATAGTGTAGTGTAGTGTGTAGTGTATAGTGTGTAGCGTCTATAGTAGTGTAGTGTATAGTGTAGTGTGTAGTGTAGTAGTGCATAGTGTAGTAATGTATAGTGTAGTAGTGTATAGTAGTGTGGTGTATAGTGTAGTAGTGTATAGTGTTTAGTAGTGTAGTGTATAGTAGTGTATAGTGTAATAGTGTATAGTAGTCTATAGTGTAGTGTATAGTAGTGTGGTGTATAGTAGTGTGGTGTATAGTGTAGTAGTGTATAGTGTATAGTAGTGTATAGTGTAGTGTATAGTGTATAGTAGTGTGGTGTATAGTGTAGTAGTGTATAGTGTATAGTAGTGTGGTGTATAGTGTAGTAGTGTATAGTAGTGTGGTGTATAGTGTAGTAGTGTATAGTAGTGTAGTAGTGTATAGTAGTCTATAGTGTAGTGTAGTAGTGTATAGTAGTGTGGTGTATAGTGTAGTAGTGTATAGTGTAGTGTATAGTGTAGTAGTAGTGCTGGAGTCTATCACCAGGGAGAGGGAGGTGTGGACCGCCACGACTCAACGCGCTGCCGCCGCGACCCTCACCAGGACAAGCGGCCTGAGAGGCGAAGGGACATCCTAGACCCTTCGATGCAGGATAACCTCGCTTGCAAGTGCGACGTGGAGTCGCCGAAGTGACGGGAGCGAAACGACGCGAAATAAAGTCGAGCAAATGAAGAAAATAAGAATCCGTGCAGAAGCAAACGCGTCCACATGCCAGATCGAAAACATCGATATCACAAAATGAATTCCCTGGAGCGTGAATCTGCTCGGGAAATATTATTGTTTAGACCGATCATAATACAATTACAAGCTTACGTTACACAGACATTAAACGGACACGGGGCGACTATTGTTCTAATATTTAAAGAGACAATGATACGTTTGTCAAAGCTACTTGCACGTGAAGATATCACAAAGCATCGCCAGTGTAACATCAAACTGTAATTTAGAAATGTACGTGTGTATGCGTCTGTCACACTTTACCTTCATAGGTGCTCGCTAATAACACGCCCCTGGAGTCCGTTAAAGCTATACATGAGGATCTTTGTCACATTTACAGGCAGAAGTGAGACAAGACGGAAGGAGGATGGAGTGGCATGATGATGGTGGTGGTGGCTGGTGGAGAGAGTGGAGGAGGCACATAACCATCTGTGTGTGTGTGTGTGGATTGATAATTACATGAACGCATCGAGGGAGAGAGAGAGAGGGGAGGGAGAGCGAGCGAGCGGGTGGCCAGGGCAAGGGGGAGTGGGGCACCTAGAGAGCTCGCTACGCGGTGCTTGGGAAAACATCGATGGTGATTGTGGGGGGGTGGGGGGGGGACTTCCCAGTCTGTGTGCGTGGTGTCCGTGGGTAGCGGTGGTGCAGCGGTTGCCCCAACAATCTGTTTTCCTTGCGCTACGTGCGCACGGCTGCATGAGATGCGGGAGGAATGCGTTAGATGGAATAACCTGAGAATGTTCAAGAGGCCATGCGCACAATGGGGCCCTTATATCTGGGGAACACAGCGACTGCAGCCAAGACTCTCGCTGTGCCAGAGCAGCACGACTCCACGTGGTTATTGTGTGTGGGGAGGGGGGAAGCAGTGGCATAGTGGTTAGCGCGCTTGGTTACTGCATTGTGTGTGTGGGGCGGTGGGATAGTGGTTAGCGCACTGCGTTATGAATCCGGCGCACAGATTTTCCCTGACGGCCAACACCCAGTGACGATTATTTGAACCGGTCCTGGGCCTCCCCACAAATGAGTACCTGGTGCGGTGTGTAAACATCGCGACTAGGGAGACAAAGGCGGCCGGGCGTGGTGCTGGCCACCCACCCCCTCGTGTGCCGTTACCGCCCTTCAAAGGTGCCCCTAGTTAACAGCACTTGCCCCAACAGTCCGTTGAAGGCTATACGGGGGACTTTGTTGTTGTGTGGTTGGATTCTATATCAGGTGTCAGTCACCATGGATTCATGTTCCTAATCCCAAACGTCTCTCTCACACACACACATTGTCCCCCAAGCCTTTAGCACAAACACCACCCCTCCCTTCTTCCACACACACACACAAACGCACGCCCGCAACCACGCGACTATAATTTAACTGCAGTATTATGAAGATGACGGCACAGTGAGTGGCTTGGCAGCCTAGATTTAGTACAACTTTAACACATTCTTTAATAACAACGTGGCCGTCAAGGCAAGTGTGAGATGTGTATCTGAAAATAAATATCAAATTGGAGGTTTTCATTTTGGCAAAGTGCTACCCAGCGGTGTGCTGTACTGCAAGACCGTAGCCATGGAGTCAACATTGGGGGGGCCAAATCTTCCAGGGGGTCTGCCCTCCCCCCCCCAGAAAAAAATAAACCTAAATTTGAAAACGAATTTCCTGCCATTTCCTGCCTAAAATATTTAAAAAATTCACTAACACATAGAATGGACTTTTTTTTTACATTGTACGTAACGGCAGAGATTATGGTATAATAAAGTACAACCATAACCACAATCGTATAAACAGAAATTTATTTTATAGCAATATATTGGGGGGGGGGGGACATTTTGAGCATATTTGAATATTGCGGGGGATGTGTGTCCCCCCCAGTATATATTATAATTACGGCCTTGCTCTACTGTCAGTGGTAACACAGCAATCATTTGATTGGCAGTGTGTGTGTACCTCCCCAACTTGTGCACACTGGTCATCTCGCTAACGTGGGGCGAGATGTTGTTTACTGCCTCGCCTGGTGTACAGGAGGTCGTTGGTTCGATCCCCGACCCTGACGCCTGATGTATACAATATACCTCCAGTTTTCCCCTCCACGTGTGGAATCAACATCACGCGTTCAGAGTATTTGCCTGCTGCTATCAATTTCCACATGACGGTGAGCCACTTTCGTTGAGCTGTCATTTGCGATGGCAAGGTCGCTTCTGAAATAAAGTCACTATACAGCTCGGCGGTGGTGCCTTTTCCTGGTGAAATAAACAAGAGTTTAATAACGTTTTGATTTTGTTCTGCTGACGGCAAACCGAAACGAAATGCATCCAGGGAGTCGAAACGTCTTCTCCTCGGGGTTGGGAGTGCCGCGTTACCGTTAGGATGTAAGAAATTGGAATCCGAATCGGGATTTAGTGTCGGGATTGTGGATAGTGACCTTTCAGTGACCGTGAATTTCATCTGACACAGGGAGGAGTGGCGGCGGGGTGGGGGATTTGAACTAGAGGCCGACCGAAATTTGGCACCAAAAGTTGGCAAATGCCCTCTTTCGGCATAGTTTCTGTTTCGGTCGAAGTCAAAAAGTTTACTTTCGGTTTCGACCGAAACCAGAAATTCATTTTCGGTCGGTCTCTAATTTTTACCCCCCCCCGCCCCCAAATGCCTTTATTAGATAAAGGGCTGAACCGTGCTACTGGTGACAATGATCAGGCTCTCGGCGAGTGAGCCTACAGGTGCCCCTCGATCTGTGCGGTGGTCGTAGTTCAATCAATCAAGCAGCGAGCTTTGATTTCTACAGCGCTATTTCGTGCAAAAAGAAGCACTTCAAAAGTGCTGTGCAGATGAAATAAACCATTTTGAAAAGACTGAAAGCACAAGAACAATAAAATAAATTACCGTACAAACAAATTTACATTATAATGAATTGCTATCGAAGGCATATTAACAAAAAAGTAACACTATAAAATAATCTTAAGTAAAAGCAACCGTAAAAAGAAAGTTTTTAGATGTAACTTAAAATTGCTTAGTAGTAGATGCGGTACGAAAAAGGGGGAGGGGGGCGCACAAAGCGAAACGGCACGAGGAGCCAGCTGCCTGACAAGTAGTGCACGCAGTACACTCAGTATACACAGTACACACAGTACACACACAGTACACATAGTATACACAGTACACACAGTATACATAGTACACACACAGTACACACATTACACATAGTACACACAGTATACACAGTACACACAGTATACACAGTACACACACAGTATACATAGTACACACACAGTATACACACAGTATACATAGTACACACAGTACACAGTATACACACAGTATACATAGTACACACAGTACACACACAGTATACACAGTATACATAGTACACACACAGTACACACAGTATACACAGTACACACACAGTATACACACAGTATACATAGTACACACGCAGTACACACAGTACACACACAGTATACACAGTACACACAGTATACACAGTACACACACAGTATACACACAGTATACACAGTACACACACAGTATACACACAGTATACATAGTACACACACAGTATACACACAGTATACATAGTACACACAGTACACACAGTAGACACAGTACACACACAGTATACACACAGTATACATAGTACACACACAGTACACACAGTATACACAGTACACACAGAGTATACACACAGTATACACAGTACACACACAGTATACATAGTACACACACAGTATACATAGTACACACATAGTATACACACAGTATACACACAGTATACATAGTACACACAGTACACACAGTATACACAGTACACACACAGTATACATAGTACACACACAGTATACACACAGTATACATAGTACACACACAGTACACACAGTATACACAGTACACACACAGTATACACACAGTATACATAGTATACACAGTACACACACAGTATACACACAGTATACATAGTACACACACAGTATACACAGCATACATAGTACACACACAGTACACACAGTACACACAGTATACACAGTACACACACAGTATACACACAGTATACATAGTACACACAGTACACATAGTACACACACAGTATACATAGTACACACACAGTATACATTGTACACACAGTACACATAGTATACATAGTACACACAGTACACATAGTATACATAGTACACACACAGTACACACACAGTTCACATAGTACACACACAGTACACACAGTATACATAGTACACACAGTACACATGGTACACACACAGTATACATAGTACACACAGTACACATAGTACACATAGTACACACACAGTACACGTAGTACACACACAGTATACATAGTACACACACAGCACACATAGTACACACACAGTATACATAGTACACACATAGTACACATAGTACACACACAGTATACATAGTACACACAGTACACACAGTATACATAGTACACACAGTACACACAGTACACATAGTACACACAGTACACACACAGTACACATAGTACACACAGTACACACAGTATACATAGCACACACAGTACACATAGTACACACACAGTATACATAGTACACACACAGTACACATAGTACACACACAGTACACACAGTATACATAGTACACACCGTACACACAGTACACACACAGTATACATAGTACACACAGTACACATAGTACACATAGTACACACACAGTACACATAGTACACACACAGTATACATAGTACACACACAGTACACACACAGTATACATAGTAAACACAGTACACATAGTACATATAGTACACACAGTACACACAGTATACATAGCACACACAGTACACACAGTACACATAGTACACACACAGTACACATAGTATAAATAGTACACACAGTACACATAGTACACACACAGTATACACAGTATACATAGTACACACACAGTACACACAGTACACACACAGTTCACATAGTACACACACAGTACACACACAGTACACACAGTATACATAGTACACACACAGTATACACAGAGTACACACACAGGGCACACACACAGTACACACACAGTACACACAGTACACACACTATACACAGAGTACACACACAGTACACACAGTACACACAGAGTACACACACAGCGTACACACACAGTACACACACAGTACACACATAGTACACACAGCACACACACAGTACACGCACAGTACACACAGAGTACTCACACAGTACACACACAGTACACACCCAGTTCACACAGAGTACACACCCAGTTCTCACAGAGTACACACATAGTACACATTCAGTTCACACAGAGTACACACCCAGTTCACACAGAGTACACACATAGTACACACACAGTACATACAGTACACATAGAGTACACACATAGTACACACAGTACATACAGTACACACACAGTGCACACAGTACACACACAGTACACACAGAGTACACACACAGTACACACAGAGTACACACAGTACACACAGTACACATA